TGGGCACCTACCGACCTGGGGAGTTCATCTTTCAGAGTCCTATTTTTTTGCCTTTTCATACTGTTCATGGAGTTCTCAGACAAGAATACTGAAGTGGTTTTCCATTTCCTTCTCCAGTGGACCACGTTTTGCCAGAACTTTCCACCATGACCTGTCCATCTTGGGTGGTCCTACACGGCATGGCTCATAGTTTCATTGAGTTAGACAAGGCTGTGTTCCATGTGATCAGATTGGTTAGTTTTCTGTGATTGTGGTTTTCATTCTGTCTGCCCTCTGATGGAGAAGGGTAAGAGGCTTACGGAAACTTCCTGATGCAAAAACTTGGTCTAGTTCTGATGGGCCGGGCCATGGTCTGTTGGATCATCGAAAAAGCAAGAGAGTTCCAGAAAAACATCTACATCTGCTTTATTGACTATGCCAAAGCCTTTGACTGTGTAAACCACAACAAATTATGGAAAATTTTTCAAGAGATGGGAATACCAGACCACCTGACCTGTCTCCTGAGAAATCTGTATGCAGATGAATAAGCAACAGTTAGAACTGGACATGCAACAACAGACTGGTTCCAAATTGGGAAAGGAGTACGTCAAGGCTGTATACTGTCACCCTGTTTATTAAACTTATATGCAGGGTACATCATGAGAAATGCTGGACTAGATGAAGAACAAGCTGGAATCAAGATTTCTGGGAGAAATATCAATAACCTCAGATATGCAGATGCACCATCCTTATCGCAGAAAGCAAAGAAGAACTAAAGAGCCTCTTCATGAAAGTGAAAGACGAGAGTGAAAAAGTTGGCTTAAAGCTCAATATTCAGAAAACCAAGATCATGGCATCTGGTCCCATTACTTCATGGCAAATAGATGGGGAAACAATGGAAACAGTGAGAGACTTTATGTTTTGGAGCTCCAAAATCAATGCAGATGGTGATTGCAGCCATGAAATTAAAAGACTTTTACTCCTTGGAAGGAAAGTTATGACCAATCGAGACAGCATATTAAAAAGCAGAGACGTTGCTCTGCCAACAAAGGTCCATCTAGTCAAAGCTTTGGTTTCTCCAGTGTGTACGGATGTGAGAGTTGGACCATAAAGAAAGCTGAGTGCTGAAGAATTGATGCTTTTGAACTGTGGTGTTGGAGAAGACTCTTGAGAGTCCCTTGGACTGCAAGGAGATCCAACCAGTCCATCCTAAGGGAAATCAGTCCTGAATATTCATTGGAAGGACTGATGTTGAAGGTGAAACTCCAATACTCTGGCCACCTGATGCAAAGAACTGACTCATGAGAAAGGACACTGATGCTGGGAAAGATTGAAGGTGGGAGAAGGGGATGACAAAGGATGAGATGGTGGGATGGCATCACCAACTCAATGGACATGAGTCTCAGTAAACTCTGAGAGTTGGTGATGGACAGGGAAGCCTGGCATGCTGCAGTCCATGGGGTCACAGAGTCAGACACGAATGAGTAACTGAACTGAACTGACTGACCCAGAAGTTGTATGGAGAGCAGCCTCCTGAACTTGGGTGTGAATTAGAAAGGAATTTCTGTAGCAAAAGAAAACAGAGAGGCAAGTTGTTTCCAGTAAGTTAAGCTCAACAAATGGGTTTTCTCCACACATTCTACTCCTTTTTAAAGGTGCCTGCTGTGTGTGTTGGGCACCACGCAGAACACTTCTGCTCTAAAGGATTCACATTCTTGTGGGGAAGCCAGTTGGGGGCAGCCACTTTACAGCTGGGGCTTCGCTGTTGACTCAGATGGCAGAGAATCAGTCTGCAGTGCAGGAGACAAAGATTGATCCCTGAGTTGGGAAGATCCCCTGGAGAAGAGAATGGCAACTCACTCTAGTATTCTTGCCTGGAGAATCCCATGGACAGAGGAACCTGGCAAGCTACAGTCCATGGGGTCTCAAAGAGTCGGACACAACTGAAGCGGCTAACACTTTCACACTTCTCACCAATGGTACTAGCAATCTCAGAGGTGAGAAGTGATCTCACTGTAATTTTAAGTGAGACTGGGCATATGTATCTGAGAGTGAGTTTATTCCTTTATTGTGAACTGATGGTTTTAATTATATTGAAGTTATCGTGCAAATTAAATGAAGAGATCCACATGAAGTGCCTCCTATAGACCTTGATGATTAGTTCAGTTCAGTCATGTATGCGCATCCATACATGACTACTGGAAAAACCATAGCTTTGACTAGACGGACCTTTGTTGGCAAAGTAATGTCTCTGCTTTTTAATATGCTATGTTGGACCCTCTGAAACCAGCCTGGCTACAGAGGCTGCTGTGACTTTACTCCCCATTTCCATGTTACTGAAATAACCTCACTGCCCCACAATGGTTGGCCACAGGTAATCTGGCCTAGATCATGAGGAAAATGAATACTGAAAGGGTGAGATAAAGAGTATAATCAGTTGCCCTTGCTTAGACTCTGTTTAAAATTCACAGTAACTAAAATAATTTAGGAGAACATAAGGGATAAGCATGCAATCTCCACAAACATCAAATGTAGAAAAAATCATGTGACAGCATTCACAAAATCTAAAGAATACACATGATCTATCTTATAAGGTATGGATTCAAACTTCAATTTCATTCTAATGGGCTACTGTGAGGGAGATAAAACTATTTTAAACAAAAACCACACACAGAATAAATGTATAAGTTTCCTCGTGATTCTCACTAAGGCTTCAATGTATTTTCTTATTGAAACAATCAAACAAGCTCTTGGTGAAAAGATCTTATACAGATGTCAGAACAAGGTAAAAACTGAAACTATTTATAATGAAAAAATTTGTTTAAAGAAGGTAAATCACTTCTTATTTTTCTCATTTTGAGAAGAAGCTATGTTTCACTTGGCAATAACTCTTCTCTCATTCTCTCTGAGAATCCGTACAAAAGCAATATCTCAACTAAAATCAATTCTGAAGGATCTTTTATGAAAATGCATAATGCAGAAGACCCCAATTAAATTTTCAGCAAACCACTGCCATTTTGAGTAAACAAAGTCATCTCAACAGGGTCACACTTTTAGCAAGAACTGCAGCCTAGAAATTAATTACTAGTGTGACGTATGTCAAAACAAATTTTTAAAAGAACAGAATGCAGTTGTAACCATGTTTTACCTATTTGTATGCACAATGAGTATTCTCTGGCACGTAAATGCATTCATTCATTCGGCATCTCACAGAAAAATAAAAAAGAGATGTATTGCCCACCTCTCTTTTTCCTGCACCCAGGTGAAACCTGAGTAAATAACAAGTGTTTAGTGAGTCAGAAAATAAGTACAGAATGAAGATGGCTATTTTGAAAGGCAGAAGTCATCTTCACACAAATAACTTAATTTTCAAACATTCAGTCTGCCTTCAAAAGAAGTTTTTCAAAGATATACATCAACACCACCACTGCACTGAAGGTTATTACTTCATAGAAATCAAAGCTTCAAATAACAGATAACAGTGCTGGTGTTTCATAAAGAAGATTGTAATCTATACTAACAACAAACAAATAAGACAAAATAAAAAAACTACCTGGGAATAAAATTCAGATTCCAAAGAATTTCAATTTTCTAATTGTGACAATACATATTTAAACTAAACACATTTTTATAAATGAGAACATTTTAGCATCCAAGGGAAATCCAAACAGAAAATAAGGATTCAAGGAGAGGTATGCAGATTCTCTTTTGCATTTTAATAGAAAATTATGTCCTAATCTTTTTCACAACGTATACCTATATCAAATCATCACATTGTATACTTCAAATACCTCACAATTTCATTTGTCAATATATATACCTCAAAAAAAAAAAAAAGAGTCTAGGATTGAAACTCATAAAAAAAAAAAAAAAACTTACGGCCCAAACCAAACAAAGACTTCTCTTATATTCCAAATGCCACCTTATCTATAAATCAACTTTTAAACTTCAAAATAGCCTCTTCTGGGAGGGAGTATATAGAGACTTATGACTGATTTGCATTGTGTGGCAGAGGCCAACACAACATTGTAGAGCAATTATCCTTCAATCTTAAAAAAATCATCTAAAAAAAAAGTAAAACAACAAAAACAAACAAAAGTTGCCTCTTGTATGTGAAGAGAAAATTAAAACATGTTTTCTGCAGCAATATACATACTAAAATACTTGGCTTTTTTCAACCAAAGAAAAAACGACACTGACCACATACTGAACCTCAGAATTTCGAGGCTAGAAGGCTTGCTGCAAAGCACACTGCACTGAGAGCCTCGGGCCGGGCCAGCACTCCAGTCCAGACTGAACTTTCTAACACATCGGGTTTTGTCATCAGGAAGATAAGAGCTCACTGTACAATTTTTCATATAAAAACAGACTTTTGAGACACTTGTCTCCCAGAGTGCTTCTTTCATGACCATTTTATCACTCCTTTTGTGTATTACAGCAATTAACTTGATATCTTACCCTTAGGAGCTATTTCTTACTATGTCAGCTGTGGTGGCCAAGTAGCCACCTTAGATAAACATGAAGCTATAGGATGGGTCATTCTGACCACTGGGGTTCCTCTTTCAGTGGGACCAACTCAGAACCAAGGTAACAGTGAACTTCCCTGTGGTCCAGTGGTTAAGAATCCACCTGCCAATGGAGGGAACACAGGCTTCATCCCTGGTCCAGAAGTTTTCACAGACGATGGGGCAATGAAGACCATGTGCTGCAGCTACTGAAGACAAACACTATGGAGCCCGTGTGCCCCACTGCGCTCCATTCTTCCATCAACAGAAGCCAGCACAACACGAAGCCCTAGCTCGTCACAACTAGCGAAAGCCCACATGCAAACAGCCAGACCAGTCAAAAATAAAAATACTGCTCTTTTAATCCCACACCTTAAAAATTAAACAAAAAAAAGAAAAAACTACAGTGACTGATAATTTCCCTTTGTAATTTTTTAAACCAGTCTCTCCAAATAAACTTATTGAGCAAAGCATATCATTCTCTTATACCTCAATATTAGAAATTAAGTTAGTTACCTCTCTCAAAACTGTGCTTTTGTAGCCTCGATATAATCCTTGGATGCCCTGGAACAAATAAAAAGCCAAGAGCTCAGAAAGTCAGAAGAGCAGCAACTTCTAAACAACATTCTACATAAAGCAGATTAACTTTTTCTAAAGTTTGAATTTTAAAATATTCAGAATGACTACAATTCAACTAAGCTTTATTCGTTTTCAACATTTCATCTCTTGGAAAAAAAATACTTGAGATGTTTTAAATAAACATGCAAATACACAGAGAATGCTATCCTTTCATATAAAAACAATTATATTTATATTTCATATTTTCAATCATCAGACATGATAAATTCATAAATAATCTCTCAAAAGTGATAAATACCTCTGGGCAAGCCTTGATCTATTTAACTACCTATATGATTCAACAGGGACCCTTCCCTAGACTTATCTCATTCACACCTCAATGAGGAGACATTGAGATTGTTAAAAATAACTCCCCTAAAACCTGGACTCACTGAAATTTTCACGAGATTGATTTTCACTTAAAAAAAAAAAAAAGATGGGGGGGCCTTCTGTACAAACTATAAAGAAAAGCAGCTCAATGGTCCCCAGTCACATGGTCAGCAAGCATGATTTCTGACCCACAGTTTAACATGAACCAGTATAAGACGAATTACAAGTAAATATAAATATTATGACATGGGTCACTAGTATCACTCCATTACCACAGGTCTCTTCCATGGTCCTCAAATTCTGTAGTGATGTTTTAATACATCTTTATTCACTTTATATATTCACTATTTATTCTATTTCTGATTCCGAAAGAACGACAGGCTGATTACAATGTAGGGCACATGCTTAATGGTGTATTTGTTTATAAATTTGAAAAAGAAATAAAATTGAAAATAAGAAATTGAAAACAATGGAAAGGCAAAGATAATCTTAGCATTAACAGTTGCTATAACTGGACAATAAATTTAGCCTTAAGCTCTAAGGCTCCTGGGTCAGGCCACAGTGTTCCTATCAGCTACAATAAAATATCCTCAATACAAGAGCGTAAAAACATATTTTCAGGACTTTCCTGGTGGCCCAGTGGCTAAGACTGTGCTCCAATGCAGGGGGCCAGATTCGATCCCTAGTCAGGGAACTAGATCCCTCATGTGACAACTAAGACTCGATGCAGCCAAAAAAAAACATACATATTCTCACCTCTTGACATAAGATGTTAGAGAAAATGTGAAATGTTCCTGAAGAAGCAGATACTTGTGCCCTCTGCTTAACTACTTCAGAAGGAACTCGAATCAGGCAGGCAACCTAAAATACATAAATTTAATTATATCCTTAAAGTGAAGTAATTGTTATGAGAGTGGAAATTTTTTCATGAGCAAAAAATGTAGTTAAAGAAAAGCATAATGTACAGTGCTCACTGCAAGACATCAAAGGGTTTTCTGTTTTTGTTTCTTTTTTAACCTAAAACACTCAGAGCATTAATGGACATGCATTGTTCTGTGGGGATCCTCCCACCTCCTGCCTCACTGCTCCAAGCACACCCATCTGTATACCCCTCCATGGGAAGGAGCTCACATACTCATTCTGAACTCCCAACACCTAGCAGGGCCTCTGGCATTTACACAACAGCTATTTCAAACATGTCTGCTTGATGAATGAATCAAAAGTGCCTTAGCTTTACTGGAGTAATACACAATGACAGAGGCAAGACTGAAAAATCAGCTGATAACCCCAATCTTCCATTCCACTCCATTCCCAGCCTCAACCTGCTCACAGCTTCAGCAGCCCTGACCTCCCCACCACTCGACAGCTGAGAAGTAACCCCAGGCACTCTTGGGCCCTGCTCCAGCATTTGAGTAGACTTGGGTCCTGCCTGGTCCATACCATTTGTTGACTAGACCAGCCAACAAATAACTATAACATCACCCTTGGGGACATGCCAGAGTCAGTTACACAGCACCTCAATCTCACACTTCCAGGACTCTGCTTTCAGTAGCCCACTCTTCTTTAGAGAAACAGTTAACAATAAAGAACTGGCCATATCAGAAGGGACTCTGCCCACTGGAGGACAGAAGGCAGCAGGGAACAGGGAGGGAGATATATAAACTGATATTTTAAACTGCTATAACGGAAGTCCTATACTTAAGCCTCCACAGACCAAGCAGTCTGCCAAGGATACAAATTTTTCCTCCAACTTGGAATTCACACCCCTGACTCTGGTGTTCAGTGTTTTGTATACGGTTGAGATTAATTTTAAAACTTTCAGAATATGTATTTCATATATATGAGGCACAATAAAAAAATGTGGACACTCTTTCTTCAATAACACATGCAACAAAATGGAAATAAAAACAAGAAATTTAAGAAAACCATACCATCAAATAGGATACTTGCCATTTTCAATCTGCAGTCTCCTAATTCCTAATTTGAAATTATGATGCAATTTGGGTATTATATAAGGCTTTGTCTTTCTAATATTAAGTAGCTCTTAATATTAAGGTACAAACTGGGCTTCCCCAGTGGCTTAGCAGTGAAGAATCTGCCTGCCAATGCAGGAGACTTGGGTTCAGTCCCTGGGTCAGGAAGATCCACTGGAGAAGGAAATGACAACCCAATCCACACTATTCGTGCTGGGAAATCCCACTGACAGAGAAGCCTGACGGGCTACAGTCCATGGGGTCACAAAGAGTTGGACATGAGTTGGTGACCAAATAACAGCAACGACAAAGGTACAAATCAGCAAACTTTTTATATAAACAATCAAGCAATAAATAGTTTAGACTTTGCAAGCCAACGATCTCTGTCACTACAGTTGAACTATGCTGTGGGAACACAAAGCAGCAAAGATAGTAATCTGTAACTGAATGGTGCGACTGTGTTCCAATAAAATTTTATTTATAAAAATAGGCAATGCTTTGCCAACCCCCCCCCCCCCCCCCGACATAAACACGAGCAAATCCTTCCTTCATATTCGCCTCAGCAAGAGCAAAGCAGACACAGGACAGACGTAGGTCTCAGCAACCCCAGGACACAAGGAACAGAAATGGTGTGTGATGTGATTCCAGATGTCATGGAGTCAGCTAACAGGGCCGTATCACCTCTGAAACGTAGCTCAGAAGGAACAGGACTTTATGTGGATGCACTCCAACTGCTCTAACAAGGATAGCAAAGGATTGATGACCTCAAGTCATTTTTCTCCCCAAACTGACAAGACGTACAAAACAATATTATTTACCTTGTTTTTCCTCATTCATCAATCACTTGAATGCTTTTTGTCTGCAAAGCTATTTGCAATTCAGGCCAGTTTATCTTTCCACCCATAGCCTCCTTTCACATTTACCTGATTCGGTTCAATAAAAACAGATGGAGCCAGATACAGCACAAGAAACTGCCTGGTAAAGAAGACTAAGAAGCTGCCCTGACCTCAAAGCACCCACAGTCACATAACAGTTTCAGCAACACATGGCAAGAAATAGAATAAAACTTCAAAGAGGCAGAGACATGTATCATAGCAAATGGAAAGGAGGGGTATTTAGTCCAACTTCCAAACTGAGGGAAAACGAAAACTGTCAGATATTATGCCTTCAGAGAGCCTTCCAAATGAGCAAGAATTAGCTGGCGAAGAAAGGTAAAAAGGGCATGATGGGGAGTGGAAACAGAAAAGCACACAAGTATGAAAGCAGAGTGTTCAGGGTAACAGAGTCATCCCTCAGCATTCCACAGTGTGGACTCACCCAACCCATTCCATACCACCAAAACTTCAAGTTTAAGGTCAGAAGTAATGGGGAGTAAGACTGAACAGATGGCCGAGCAAGGAGGCCCTGTGCCACACTCAGAGGCTGGGCTTCAACGCACAGACAACAGCAACAACTGGAAAAGTCTAGGCAGATCTGCAGCTGCAACAGACAGACTTGGAGGGCATTACGCTGAGTGAAGCGAAACAGAGAAAGACAAACACAGTATGATACCACTTACATGTGGAATCTAAAAAAAACAAACACAATGAACCAGTGAACACAGCAAAAGGAAGCAGACTCACAGATACAGAATAACTCAGTAGTTACTAATGGGGAGAAGATGTTGGGGAAGGGGAGTTATAGGCGATTAAGAGGTACAAACTATCAGATATAAAATAAGGTACAAGGAAAAAAATAAGCAACAAGGATAAACTGTACAAAACAGGGAACACAGCCAATAATTTACAATAACTATAAGTGGAGTATAATCGCTAAAAGTTGTAAACTACTGTATTGTACACCCGTAACTTACATAAAGCTTTACATCAACTATGCTTCAATTAAAAAAATACATAAAATACATATATAAAGTTTAGGCAGAAGAATGATAACCTGTGTGTGCTTTAGGGACATCACTCTGGCTGCAGCAGGTAGAATACTTGGAGGATGAGAAAGAATGGTAAGAGGCAAAGAGGAAAGACAAAAAGAAAGCAAAAGACAAGCTCTCAGACTGCTACAACAGTTCTGTAGAAGATATCAGGACATGAATACGGTTCATAAAAGAAGGAAATTTGAGTCAGGAGTTAAACGAAAGGACCCGGTGACTGATAAGTCAATATAGCGGTGCTGTTAAATGAGACCAGGGGTCAGAGGGGGAAAACAGGTTTAGAGTTCAGACTGCGAAACGCTGAGAAGTCTGTGGCACGTGTAAGGGGCTCAATCTGGTCAAGAAATTAGTATCTGACTAAAGCTAGAAAGTAACAGGGCTAGAGATACAGACAAAGAAATCATCAGCATTAAGTGGTAGCTGGAACCAAGAGAGTGAATTAAACTACCTAAGTAAAAGGCAAAAAGGGAAGGTCAGAAGGTCAAGAACGGAATCCTGAGGAACAACCATTCTTAAAAAGCAGACAAAAAGACTCGATCAGACATATTAGAAGGAAAAAACTGCTGCAGTGAACACTGGTCTTCTGTCGCTGCCCAGTTTTCAACGTTCGTGTGTGAGAGGCCCCACTACTGAAGAAAACAAAAGGTGTCAGTCCCTTTTCTCCCTGGCCACGTCACCAACTTAGGCTTAACTGTCAGTTACTCCCACCCAAGGGTTTGCATCCTGAGCGACACTGGCCAATCCGAGCCGCGAGTCCCATGAGGCCACAGCACACTGGCCAAGGCGCACGCGCAATTGAAAGGTGCTGTCAACACAACACACACAGAGGATGCTGAACGTTTTAGTGTCAAAAAATGATGCAAAACATCCCATTAATAATTCTTTTATACTGATTACATGTTGAAAGATTAACACTCTGGATACGTGTGGGTTGAGAACATGTATTAAAATCATCCAGCTAGCTTTTTATTTTTCACTTTTCTAATGTGGTTACTAGAAAAAGTATAATTACACCAGTGTCAGAGAGTCTTTCTGTTGGACAGTACTGTTCTGGGGCTACCAAGAGAGCAACATCCAAGGTCCAGGGGCAGTCAGCGGGCAGTGCCGGGGGCAGCATCCTAACTGTACTGACCCTAAGATACAGGCCTGACCAGGGTCCTTGCCATGGCTTCCCTTCCCATTCATTTCCCTCATTCTCCAGTCTTCCACCTATTCTAAGAGCCATCAAACAGTGTTCTGAATCAATTACAGAATCTCTTTTGGATAAAGCAGCAAAACACCAACTAGTGGCTTGGGCAATCAATGACATTAAGTTGTCACCTAACAAGTGTTTTGGTCAACATTTAGTGCAGAACCTCTACAAAGTGAGCTAGAATCCATGCTCTTTCTCTTTCTTCTCTGCCAGCGCTGGCGTATTGGCCTTCCATCCACAGGCTTGCTGCCTCATGAGTTATGTGACTCAAAATCCTCCAGCATAACCCGGTCATACAACTGGATTCCAGGCAAGAAAAGCTCTTTTTTTTTTTTTTTTTCAGATGCCCCCTAGTGGGTGTCCACTTGACCATCACTGTGACATGGCCACCCCCTCTTAGGAAGGCTGAGAATATGTGTAGATCAAGAAAAGGGTTAGGGACATTGCCACCCAAAGCAAATCAAGGCAGAAAGAGAAAGCAGCAATGTCTACCAACTTTCCAAACACCAAGCTTTTTTCTCACACGATAGCAAGATCAATTTCAACTGCAAGCAACCAAGAATGCTACTTGACCGCTGATAGTCAAAGGGACCAGAAGTCTCAGAGGAAGATTTCCAGAATAATGGGTCACAGGTCTCAACCAGTGCACACATTAGGGCTAGTGAAGGTCCCAAGAATGGTTTCAGTGGAGGGCTGGGGCAGGAGAGTGAATCCATACTGAATTACAGTGAATTCACAAGTGATTCAAAGATAGAGATGGGCAAGTGTG